ACTCCTTGTGTGGAAGAGACATGATAACGAAGTTGCAGATCGACTGTGGACCACACTATGATAGGATTCACAGTGTTGCACAGATGTCTAAAGTAGCAATTAAAAAGGAGTTGGTGCGTATACTGAATAACAATGAGAGGTTATTCTAGGAGGGTTTGGGCAAGTGCACTTCACGAGCAGAGCAGGGCGGCGAAGGAGCCCGAATGAGCCATGAAGACCCCCGGTAAGGGGGATGTTGATAATAAAGATGTTTGCAATAAAGTTGGTATTATGGTGTTCAGAAATATTGAGGGGTGAGGAGGAGTTAGACATACGGTTGAACCTCCTCACCCCGAGGAATAACACTTGGTACCCTGAGTGATCGTAGGGTCACTAGGGGGAGGTGTGAGGATGTGAATGAATGTCTGAAAGAAGAGAATGAAGAGGGATTAGAGGATAGGCCTGATAGAGAGTGTATGTATAAAAGGGTGCTACCCTCTCGAATAAAGCGTTCCATCCTCTTGGGTTTGTCCATCGTCATTGTTTTAACTTTTTTTTTTCTTGAACGGTACAAGAATAATCGGAAACGCCACGCTGTAGAAAGCATTGCTCTAGGAAGAGTTAGTAGCCGTGTTCAAAAATAATTACATTCCTATAACTATGAACTTCTATAAGAGAGCATCACTATACAACTTTAGGGATGATACTTTTCTAGAAAAGTATTCATGCCCCGTTATAAATAATACATTTGGGAACATATAATTAGGCTAGATATATATGTAAAGACCGTTGTACTAGCAAAAGTACTATATATCTGCAATACAACGAAGAAAGAGTGACGAGTGCAATATTTTTGATCAATTATACATGAGGAATATGGTGATATAAAGTGTTATAGACACTCAAATAAAATACCCGCTCCTGAAAACCCTGAGGGAGAGATTCCACTGTAGGTATTTGAGTTCATCACCTTTAGAATTCGCAGTTATAAATTGCTCATCTGATTTGCCAAAAAAAGATGGAGTAATAAAGCAGCACGAGAAGCCTGCGCTCAACTCTGCGCACCTTCCTTGATGAGCAACTCTGTCATTTTAGCATTCGGGTCTTGTCCATTCTCCTTTAGCACGTTCTGCCATTTTTGCAGCTCGTTCTGGAGTTCTTCCTGACCCTTTTATTCTTCTTGTGTCCTTTTTTCTTTTGTTTCAAAATTCAACCTTTGACAACCCATCAGAAGCCTTTGCAAGACCAGGGAACGGCGTAAGTATTTCCACCATGCTCTTTGCATCCGAACGGAAGGCTTCAATGAAAGCCAAAGAACATTTTGTTCTGTGGTTCGGTTGGACCAGTCAGATGCGTCCAGCGAGCAAAATGATAGGAGATTTGTCAGGAAAACAATAAAAAAAACCAAAAAACAAACAAGCAACACTCCAAGAAAGATTCAAATATTAATGAACACTAATGGCGACGGTGCGCCCTTATGTAGGCGTCTTGCCGTGCCACAAATCGATACAAACGAGTAGATCATATTCTCAGTTTGACCACTTGACGGTCCTTCGACATTCTCTACAGTTCAGAATTGCGAATTCTCATGCAGGAGTGCTTACCTTTCACGACTCCGAATATGTTGACCCTCCTTCACTACCACAGTAATTGAGTAAACTCAAGAGTCGAAGCCTGCCTTTACAAACGAGATCAGTACAAATGCCGAGGAATCCCTTGCAGGGGTCACTTGAATGGATGGAGGGTTATCGTGTTTTCATTACTCTCTCTCTGCTCTCCCCAGGAAGAGAAGTCGGAGGGGTTGTTATCATACTTATTGTAATTCCAATGTTAATCATACTTTAACTCGACGCCACCTTAACCCCGACTACACATTGGGATTTTCGGATTTTCGCCAACAACTAGGAGCAATTTGATCACTTTGATGCAACACTTTCTATGAACAAGCTTATTCATTTTAGCCGAACGTTCTTTTTCCAGCCGGAACAAACGATGAGGTTCCAAATGGCGGCACTTTCGAACTGGCTGATAAGCCAAATCTCGGCTATATGGACAGAGAAACAACAGCGGGGAAAGCCAGTGGGTCGACAGGCAAGGTCAGGTGCCCTAATTCACATTTCTGAGTAAAATTTTATGATCCGTCTTCAAATAAGTTTTACGAACAGATCTGTAAACAGTTCCGCATCACAGCAATGCAGCTTCCCTCATTTGCTGATACTTCTCTGGGGGTCCGAACATATAAAGACCGCCCAGAACAAGGAGTTCTAGCTTTGCGAGAGATCGATTTTTTCCGTTATCTCATTTGTAGCGGAAATCGATTTCACGCTACTGCATATATCTTCCTCGTCAGACAGAGAGCGAGGGGAGAGGATCTCAACACATCTATAGGCTCTTAATGATTGCCTTACACACAGTGACAAGGTCTGAACACAGAATAATCTCATGATCAGCTAAAATCGCCATTTGTTGCTGATAATTCAGCTTTCCGCAATAGATTTCTCACCACATCGAAGTATTTGCACGTTAATACATACAGTAGTGGCCACAGTTTTACGAACAAACGGTTTTTTGGGATATCTCTTCAAGAAATCCTTAACTTGCACCAGTCACTTCCTCTGTGCTCTCTTATCTTCCGATAAAGGATCTGTAATGAACTTTAACTAGTACCGAAGGAATAGTCGATTTCCGAATTTATCGGATTAAGCAAAAAACCCTGTGATTACCCTGATAAGGTGGTATCCATTTAATCAAACAAAGCAGACATAACAGCTTCGAAGACCAATGTAACTTAACAATAACAAATATGCAGAAGTATACTCTGTTGCAAACTCCTTAGCTTCGATAACAACCTGACATCTTCGTGGAATCGGTCTAACAAAGTGTCAAGGTAGAATTGCGGTATTGTTATTCAGGCTTTTTCAAGCTAAAATTTTCCGGCCGAACTCCTTGTTCATTTGCCTTTCATGCGGCACTCCGATTCGTTCCATGAATGTTCAATCGGATCAAAGTCTGGGGACTGACTTAGCCAGTCAAGATATTGCACATGGCACCTCTTCCACCTGTCGCTAATATGACCTCCCCAAAACTCCGAGTTGGCGAATAGGTCCTATTCCGTGACCGTCGAAGCACCCCCAAAACAGCACATTCCCTCCACCATGCCCCAGGGTATGCAGCTGACAAGGAGGATAGAATTTTGCCAACTGGACGCTTGATAAACTCAATCACGTCACTTCGATCAGGTTAAACATGGATTTGTCAGAAAATGCAACGCTATGAAATTGCCTGTAGACTTTGAATTCCTACGCTCACCGGACACGAACTTCACGATTCTTCTTCAAAATGGACGGTTTCTTCGCAAAATGGACGGTTTCTTCCAAAAAGTTCGCAGCTTGTAGACGTCTCCGCATAATTCTTGTTGACGGGATCTGTTCACTGCCAACGGCCGATTCCCTTTGGATGTCGGTGGAAGTGTGCCTGAGATTGTCACGACTCAATTGTTTCTGTTAGTAGTTCGTCATCCGACTTCTTCCTGGATGCGGCGTTTCTGCAATCACCCCTATTGCTGAGATTTTCCTCAGAAAAAAGCAAATAAATATTGTAGTAAAGTGAAAAAGTCTTGCTAGTCCTCAAGGTTTCAGTCCT